ACAATAATTGCATTGTTGCTTAAAATGCAAAATTTTCAATAAAATATCAGCCTTGACGGCCGTCAAAAAAACAAAATTTGAAAAATGGAACGATTTTATTTAGCAGTGTACTGAGTGAGTGAAAATGTGTTCATGCAAACATCGAGTAAACTAAATTGATGAGAAAATTTCTAATTTCATAATAAACTTAGTAGATTAATATATGAACATTTACAATTTGATTACAGAAGATCTGAAAGTATGCGAAAGATCTGATCAAAGTTAAATCATTAAAATTTTTCATTTTCTTAATTTTTCTAATAGAACATTTATTACCATCTGTATAATTATTTTGTAATTTTTTGGAATATCATACATATTTCATTTTTAAAATTCATTCAAATAATTTAAGGCAAAAGTGTGTGCTAAAAGAATAAAATTGTATTGTTGATTAAATAAAGAGAGAGAGAGAGAGAGAGAGAGAGAGAGAGAGAGAGAGAGAGAGAGAGAGAGAGAAAGAGAAAGAGATAAAAAGACAAAAATGAACTGAATTGAAACCCTTTATGTATAATACTCGCATATTTAGGTCATATTCACCTTTCTTACCATCAACTAATCTTCTCTTACAAATACAAAATAAACAAACGAAACGATTATTTCAAACAGAGAGAGAGAGAGAAAGAGAGAGAGAGTGAATGAGAGAGAATTAAGAGGTAAAAAAACTGACAATGAAAGAAGGGAAAAAGAAATGCTTCAAGAAAAAGCTTTATTTTATAGATATAATATACAAAAAGAAAGAAAGAGGAAGAGAAAAGTTAAGAGAGAGATCGCATGAGAGAGACTAGAGAGAAAGGGAAAGAAAGAGAGAGAGTGAGAGAACGTGAAAAAGATCGAGAGGAAAAGAGAAATGGAAAGGAGAGACAGAGAAAGAGAGAGAGAAAAAAAACGTGAGAGAGTTCGAGAGGAAAAAAGGTAGAAATACTTACATTAAAGAAGAAATAATATATTTGCTTCAATAAAAAGCATTCATGACAGATATGAATAAAAAGAAAGATAGAGGAAGAGAAAAGGTGAAAGAAGAGCGAGAGAGGGAGAGAGAGTGAGAGAGAGAGCTTATGTGTGTGAGTGGCAGTGTACAATATATGAAATGTGATGATGTCATCACAAAACTCGAACAAACACAATCAGTTACCATTTATTGCGTTAGAGGAAGAAAGAGAAAAAAAGAAAAAAGATGAGAGAGAGAAGAGATCAAGAGAGTATCACAGCATAATATATAATACAATGTAGTAGAAGAAAAGAAAGAAAGAAAGCTAGGAATAGAAAGAAAAAGAGATAGAGAGAGAGAGAGAGAGTGAGGAGATAAAGAAATACAGTACATGGGATAATATATGAAATGTTAAGATATCACGATAAAACAGTGTAAGAGGGGGAGAGTGATAGATAGAAAAAGTAGAAAGAAAGAAAAAATATAGAACTAGTTTATTGGGGTTTAAATTTCATTTTTTAACCTTATCGTCTTATTTATTACACAAATGAATTTTGTGTTACGATTGAAAAAGTCGGAAATGATGAAAGCCCAATGAAATTGTTTATAAAACCTTCGAGATGTGACAATAGAGCTTCTTAAAACGAATTGTTTTCACATAGGTTTTTGACAATTTATTGTATGCTAATGGTCGACGGCGTGAATATTCAAAGACGCGCATTTCACATAATGCATAAACGTTTCATTAACATATATAATAAGAATACAATATTCTTCTTTCTTTCTCTCTCCCTCTCTCTCTATCTCGCTCTCTCTCTCTCTCTCTCTCTCTCTCTCTCTCTCTCTCTCTCTCTAACGTAGATTCAAAACAATTACCATTCATCGGCTTTTAACGGCCATTGACATGCGCCCCGCTTGATCCAGTTCAAAGTTGATATAATTGGACTTCCAATTTCAAAATTAGCTAACCATAAGTATTTTAAGAAATTACAACGATTCAGCAGTGTTCTAATAATATTAATTAATTAATTTTTATTTAAGGTATTGGTTGAGATAAGGAAAGGCAGTGTCACGAGTGAGATTCGAACCCACGACCTTCGGCTAAATAGCAGCTGCTCTACCACTTGAGCTACCGTGACTCCGATCCTCTCGGATACCAACTTCCCATCTCAACCCTCCTTCTTGCCATTTTTTTTTTTTAATTTTCCCGCTCGTTACACTGGCTTTTTTATCTCAACCAATACCTTACATAAAGATTAATTAATTGAAAAAAGTTATTTGTTCAATCGGACCACGAACTCCAATGGATTTAATAAGTAAAATGAAGTATATTTTTACAAAAGCTCTCCGTGGCCATTTCAATTGTCGCCGAGAATCAAATCCTGATTACACGACATTTGAAAAATGGCAAAAAGGAAGGAAAATTCAAAAAGGTGAGTTGAGATGGGTAGTTAGTGTCCGAGTGGATCGAAGTCACGATAGCCCAAGTGGTTGGAGCAGCGGCATGTTGAGCCGAAGGTCGTTGGTTCGAATCCCGCTCATAACACTGGCTTTTTTATCTCAACCAATACCTTACATAAAGATTAATTATTTGAAAAAAATTATTTGGTCAATCGGACTACGAACTCTAATAATTTTAATATTTATTAAGTAGGTATTAAAATTAAATTAAATTATTTGTAGTTAGTATTTATTTAGTATTTGCTATAAATCAGTAACAAAAATGTAATTAACATGTTCCTTACATTCTTATTTGAAAACCCATTTCTGGATCGCCCAGTTTCACCATGTAGTAGCTTCTTCCTTATTTATAATTTATTAATTATATATAACAATAAATATATTATTAATTAATATATAATAATAAATAAGATTATATAAAATTATAGATATAATAAGTTATAAAATATTACAGAAAAAGGTTTTTAACATTACCAAACAATTATAAGTTTTTTTTACTATTCAACTTACTACATTTAACATTTTTGCTAAATAAATTAATTTATTATAAATTAAAGACATGCATGTTCTAAAATTGTCTGAGGGTTTATACTTGAGAAGATGGATGAAAGGAGGAAGCTTGGATAAGCCAAAGAGAAGTATGAACTATTTCGGTTATTGCAGTTTTAGTTGACCTACCTGAGTCCGTTTTTGTAATAGTTAAGACAAGTTTTCTTTTAGCCCTTTACTCACATAACCAGTTTTCACACTTCCTCATTATTTCAGTTGGTCTACCCGAGAAAAAACCTTTCATGTCATACTCCGTCAAATTACCCAACGACAGCTCGTAAGTCGGATATGCCCTTTGTGCGTTTTTAACAAAATGAGATCCCTTTGAATAATCCTTAGAATTCTGCGGTAATTGTTTCTTCCTTTTGGCCGAGTTCAGGGGGCCCGGTGAAGGATTCACCCCCGGGACCCGTCCGAACAAGGGTCAAGGAGTGGACGCCGGCTCGCCGAAGGGGAAGCCACTTCGCCACTTTCCCACAACCCCCTCTAATTAATGACGGAACTCCCTAGGTAGGAACCCTATATATCACCGAAATATGTAAATGTCTCCATTCCCTGTTCCTCTTTTCCCCGAGGGCGACTATCGTCCCCTCTCTCTTTCACACCTTAGATATTAAATTTGAAGGATGAGATTTTTCAATTTTCCCAGTTAAAACTTACCCAACTGCGTAAAATATTCCGACAAAACTACTGAGCTGTATCAAACGTAATAAATGCGTTAACATTCTTTGGAGTAAATCATCCGGTAGGTTTAAATTGTCTGAACTGTTTCGAACAGGTGTACGATGCCAGTGTCCTCAACTCGTTCTACCCCGAGATCGCCGTATGATCTTCATTTGTCATCATGATTTATTGTGTCTGTTTCTTACTGACCCACTTTGGAACTATTTTATTACTTGAGAACCTGAATAGAAAGAAGAAAATTGCACAAGTCAACTGTTTTACAGAACTTTATGTTTCGTTTACTATTTCTACTTTTCGATTATGGTTGAGATTTTTATTTTTAACAATACAAGGTGTATTGGCTGTAATTTTTTTTTATCAATATAAATTAATAATTTCATTTTTTTGTAATTTTTTCTCTTTTTTTTGTCAATCCGCAAAGCTTAGACTCCCTTAACTCTTTTAAAACCCTCTGTACCAACCATCTCCCTCCAAAAAGAGACAACATAGTTAACAATCCAGTTACGTTTTCGTGGTCAAATGACCAAGTTACTTCTTTCAATAAATTAATTATTCTTTCTATGTAAGGTCTTGGTTGAGCCAAAAGACGAGCACGAGGATCGAAGTCACGATAGCTCAAGTAGTAGAGTAGTGGCGTACTTAGCCGAAGGTCGTGGGTTCGAATCCCGCTCGTGACACTAACTTTTTCATTTGAAGCAAAACTTTACATAAAACTAAAAACTAAATTTTTATATACTTGTTTTTGTCTAACTTGGCAAAAAAGAAATAAAAATAAAAAAGTTAATTTCTGCTTACTTAGTGAATTATTTACAAGAAAAATCACACGTGTAGATGAGTAATATCAGATATCAAACACTTCTGATCAAATCAAAATTGCTTAATGCAATGTATCATTTTACAAGTAAACGATCATTTTGATATACATGCAAGAACAAATTTTGTAGTTAATTAAAGTAAGATATTTACAGTTATACATAATATGATAGATTTTGATCTACCTCCTATTTTAAACATATGCCTAAATAATATCTGAAATACAAATTAATCATTGATTTAATATCGTTTCCTTACAGTATTTATTAATTAGTTATGTTGTAATTCATGTTTGTCGCAAGCTCAAAACTGAGTGGTATTAAAACCAGTGGAGCGATGCAATACGCGATACGACAAGTGATGCGACATGCAATTTGACACTGTATCGCTTATTACATGTATTCCTTGCTTGTGCAACTAAACCAGTGTACACCAGCGCGATTGCGATAATTATCGCGTATCGGTTGGAGCGACACAACTTGAATTCACTCCAGGCTATAGACCGTCGCGCCTCGTCAGTAGTTACAGGAAAGGAAACAGTAATCCGACACTGCTGACACTATGTCTACTGATAACTAATCTAAAACCCCTTCCCTTCCTACAAGTTTATTATTGTAATTTTAATCACTCTCTGCTGTAAGCCCCGTCTGAACAGTTGTAGCTCTTACAATAAAATTCTTTTTAAAAAGTAATTTTTATTTGGAGTCCATTTAATTAGTGACTCATGTCGAGAGATGTGTTTGTGACCACGTCAACCTGATGATGAGCGTTCGGTCGTGTTGGGCCGTGCACGCCCGAAGCACTTTCCGATCCAAATAAATTTGGATTTTCCCGTCCTATTCGGCCGAATTGTTACTTCGAATTCAGCTGTCAACCACGTGACATCAAACGCTCACCATTGTTTAACGGCATTCTTTACTTTTTGTTTACCTTTTCGTTGCGTTTTCATTTCGATGGATTGCGAAATATGAGTGCTGTTGAGAAGAACCAGACTCTTTGGGACATGCATGATCCGCTCTATCATTGGAGAGATGTCCAGCATAATATGTGGTCGAGGATAGCTTTATAAATGGAACTTCCAATATTTTTGTTTATTTCTTTCCCTCCATTTGTATGTAAACTAAGAATTTTCGAGCAGTAACAAGTATTCTACATCCATTTGTGCTCTTTCATGAACTGACGAAAATCGGCTAAAGTGGACGATGGCGTTCGGCCGGTCGTCTGTTTGGTCAAATAGTTCGGCTGTTGAACGGCCGTCCTAGTTCGGTCCAAATGGACGAGCAGCTAAAGCAACAAATCTGTGAGTATAACCATCATTTCCCAAAAGTGAATTTTAACCTCTTACAATTAAGTTTTTCAAATGTTTGTAGGTTATTAATAAGGAGGAAGAAACAATTATCCGTATTAACTAAATGCGAAGCAACAGATCCATGGAAACGTATCCTCGGGTCGAAGAAGGCCCGGATAAAAGAACTGCAATAAAGACAGCCAATGACCTAATATAATTTAAATGACTGATTCATCATCTATATTCTAAAACTTGTTTAACTCTTGTTGTTAAACTCTTGAAAATAAATTTCTCTAAATGCGTTCTATTCTTATATTTATCAATATTTTTACAATGAAATTTATGATTTTGTTGATGTGTGATGATGTTTCAAGGGTTAACATTTGAAAAAAAAGAGCCAAATATAAAAGATATTAGTGTAATTGTAATAAAACCGTATCGCTTACTACATGTAGTTCTTTCTTGTGCAACTAAACCAGGGCACACCAGGGCGATTGCGATAATTATCGGCGTCGTATCGGTTGGAGCGACACAACTTGATATCGCCCAGGGTATAGACCGTCGCGCTACATCAGTGAATCATGGCGAGAGACGTGTTTGTAACCACTTCAAACTGATGATGAGCTTAATGGTCGAAATCCGATTCGTTTTAAACAACAAATCGGTGAATATAACCATCATTTACAAAAAGTGAATTTTAACCTCTTACAATTAAGTTTTTCAAATGTTTGTAGGTTATCAATAAGGAGGAAGAAACAATGATCCGTATTGACTAGAAATGCGAAGGAACAGATCCATGTAAACTTAACCTAGCGGCGAAAAAGGCCCGGATAAAAGAACTGCAATAAAGACAGCCAATGACCAAATATAACTTAACTGACTGATTCATCATCTTCTTCTCAAACTTGTTTAACTCTTGTTGTTAAACTCTTGAAAATAAATTTCTCTAAATGCGTTCTATTCTTATATTTATCAATATTTTTACAATGAAATTTATGATTTTGTTGATGTATGATGATGTTTCAAGGGTTAATATTTGAAACAAAGAGCCAAATATAAACGATATTAGTGTTATTGAAATAAAACTTGATGAATTTGTTAATGTTATATGTTAATTCCTGTCTTTTAAGTAAAAACTATATTCCCATATTTGTCCCCTATTTGTGACAAGGTCCCCTTTTGGGTCTCTAATCCCTGTAGAAAGTATTTTCTCCTTCTAATTTCTAACTGCGCTATTTTGAGACAATTTTATATCTCTACGGCTAATTAGCCAAGATCTTCTTTTGCTCTGGAAGGAAAATCAGCAAATAAGGATCGATTGTATCGCCCTCCATTATTGGGTCATTACTTGATGAATTTTTTTGGCATATCCAGCCTAATCTGAGCTTTATTATTTGTGAAAATAAAGTCACTTTGTAAATATTATTACGTTGACAACTTGCAGAGTTTTAGTTTCTTCTAAATCCAATACAACGTTTGAATCTTAAAGCCCTGTCACATTCAGTATTATTAAACTTTACAATCCTTCAATTTAAACGATATTAAATTTAATAATTTACATTGTATAAGATATGGAATAAAAACAAGCGGGAAGAGCTGTGTCCATAATGAGTAGGGAACGAGTCAAGTTTTGTTTTAATTTATGAAGATGAGTTGACTGCTTTATCTTGTGACGTCAGGGCCCCCCTTCATCCCGACCATTGCTTAATTAAAGAAGTAACTGGAGAAGACCTAACGAGGATCCACCCAATTTATTAGCTTCACTCGCTCCCACTCTCTCCTTCTCTCTATTGTGTTTCATAACTGAAAGATATTGAGATATTGCTCGAAATTCAAGAGTCATCCTTGGACTGGTGAGAATTGGCCATTTGTTATCATGCGACGAAACCGTGTTCTTTACGGGCCGACAACAACAACAGCAAAACAGTCGGAAGATTTGAAAAATAAAAACAGTAGATATATACCTACGCCCTTGGAATTTTTATTCTAGAATACATTGATTAAAATACTAATTTAAAGGGGGTCTGACCCCTTGTTTGCAATACCCACCGAGTAACTAAACGTTAAGCCGACCTCCTGTATGACAAGAATTACATTACTTTTTTTTTTTTAAACATGGTTTTTCAAAAAAAATGTAACTAAACGAAATATGCAGAACAAATTGTGCAAAATGCAACCAAGAAATGAATTAACAAGGCTAAAATTCATATATTTTCATGAAATTTTCTCCCTCACAGTGAGAGTTTAATTCTATCCGAAGATGTGGGTTTTCTTTTGAGAACGACTAACAATTTTATTTATTTTAAACGATTTGTTAATATTTTTGACATTAACAAATCGTTTAAAATAAATAAAATTGTTAGTCGTTTCTCGTTCACGTTCTCTCTCTCTCTCTCTCTCTCTCTCTCTCTCTCTCTCTCTCTCTCTCTCTCTTTATTTTTTGATCTCGTTATCTCTCATGAACACTTGTTTGATGCACTTATAACTTTATATTGCTCACTTGCACTGCGTCTAATGCGTTTTTTTTGGTACTCCTACTTTGTTTTTTTTTCTCTCCTTCCCTTTTCCTAAAAAATTCAATAAATCTCACCCTTTGCAGAAGCAAATAATTCTCTCTCTCTCTCTCTCTCTCTCTCTCTCTCTCTCTCTCTTTCTCTCACGCTCACTTGCTCTGCCCCTAATGATTTTTTTGATTCCTCACACGTTGTTTTTTCACTCTTTCCCTTTTCATAAAAAATTCACTATACCTCACCTTTTACAGAAACAAACAAATCCCTCTCTCTCTCTCTCACTCTCTCTCTCTCTCTCTCTCTCTCTATTTCTCTTTTGCTTTATCTTTCTCTCACGCTCACTTGCTCTGCCCCCTAATGCTTTTTTTGATTCCTCACATTTTGTTTTTTCACTCTTTCCCTTTTCATAAAAAATTCACTATACCTCACCTTTTACAGAAACAAACAAATCTCTCTCTCTCTCACTCTCTCTCTCTGTCTCTTTATTTTTTGATCTCGCTATGAACATTTTTTCGATGCACTTATAACTTTATATTGGTCATTTGCACTGCGTCTAATGCGTTTTTTTTGCTACTCCTACTTTGTGTTTTTCTCTCCTTCCCTTTTCGCAAAAAATTCACTATATCTCACCTTTTACAGAAACAAGCAAGTCTCTCCCTCTCTTTGTTTTTTTATTTATCATTTATTTACTCTCTCTTTCTCTTTCTCTCTGTGTGTCTCTCTCTCCCTGTCTCCCACTCCCTCTCTCTCCCTCTCCCTCCCTCTCTCTCTCTCAAAGTGTTTGTGTGGGCACTCTCAACACGACACGCAAGAACGGCACAATTACATAGAAGACAAACACTTTGAGCCCTGAAGATGATCTCAATAAAGATCGAAACGTTGACACGATAATGAAAATGTTTTTCTGAAACCTACATCATACCCGACCGCATCTCACGATTTCTGAATAATTAACAATAACTTTCCTAATATTTCAACGGTGCACAGCTCCTCAGCATTTGTCAAATCGGAAATTGTTGTATCTTAATTTGTATAGAAACTAATAACGTTGGCAGCTAAGAAATCATTATGATTTAGACATGAATACTACATTTCCAAGAGCAAAGGTCAGGTCTAGTGAAAATTGCCTCTTTCTCATATGTAACTAAATGCACGATCCCCCGGGCCCTGGTTTAACCTTTTCCAGCTTTTTGAAACCCTATGCAAAAAATCATTGCTGACAATAATAGTAACTATACTTAACGAACTGGAACCACAATGAATGGACGTCTAGGGAGTCAAGTGAGTTATCATTTACCGGTATTATCTAGTTCAATGAGTCATCATTCTAATTTAGCGCCTTCGCTTACTTTCTTAAACAGCCTTTAAGAGTCGTTTCGGAATCTCCGCACGTTTCCACTTTCTTTTATTGAATAATTAATATTAAATTGAATTCGCCGTATAACGGGTGAATATTGTTGTTTTGCAATTTTTTCCCTCGAGAAGATTAGATTTTGACGCTTTCTTATCGGCTAGCTATACACAGTTATTTTGAAAATTAGCCCCTTTCATTTACAAGTAAAAATAGTGGGATTAATAAAAATAACCATCAGTGTCATTTAACAGCATTGTTACTTTGAAAAAAGTAAAAAAATCTCTATCGTTTATCATAAAAAATAAATATTTTGTTCATGTTTTAAAAGCTTGTTTAAATTTAAAATACAATCATCAACATCACCATCAGACATTATTCTGCACTCAACATTTGATTAAAAATTTGGTTAAATCAGTTTCTTAAACAAATTGCTTTCGATAATCCAAAATCTTTGAGATCTAACAAAGCTAATGAAAATTATATTTTAATGAATATTTACGATACAAAAAAAAATTGTATATACATAACTAGATATTTCAATAAACATTTAACCATGTTCGTTAAAATATAATTATTTTTAGGTTTCTCTATAAAATTGTATTTGTTAAATGTAAGCTCTAGAAAAAAAACTAGATAAAAGCAACTAAACATATTAAAAAAATTCATTTGATTAATTTAAAATAAATTGAATAATTAAAGTGAGATTATCAACGATAGTTGTTATTCATCAACATTAAAAATCTACCGTCAACTCAATCCAAAAGTTGGTGAAAAATAGTGATATTAAAACATGAATACGAAAAACTTGAAAGTTTTTTTTAAACTAGTTTTACTAACTAAATATAAAGCAATTTTTCTACTACTTTTTCTAAGTTTCAATACTATTTTGAACTTGAAATACTGTAGAAAAAAATTGTCGAATTATTGATGTGATTATTCCGTCTTTGGAAATAATGTGCCATTGAATCGAAAATATATGATCAAATGGGGGCGACGTTGGGGTTATAAGCAGGGAGAGGTAAGACATTGGTGATTTCCATTTCTGCTAATGTCGTCTCTGTACTCTTTTTGCAGCTTGCTTCATTGATTGATCAAAACGGCGGATTTTTCTTTTGAAACAATTTTTTCTATTGACTGTAACAGCGTTTTCGATGCAAAATACCTTCGTGAAACGCAACGCGTGCTCTTTTTTTCTTTTCAAATCTTGAGAGATAACTTTGCCTTCAAGGTAACCCTTTTTAATTTCAATTTATTATAAATCTCAAATTAACCATTTTCTAATTTAAGTTTTTTCAATTTCAAATCAACCCTTTTTAATTTTTAATTTCTTCATTTAATTTGTTTTAATTTTAATTCGACTTTTTCTCAAAATAATATAATCGATCTATAAAAGAATTAATTTATATCTAAAAAAATCTTGAATAAGAAGCATCATTGTCGTTATATTAAATTTGTCATATCTGTCGCGTCATAACATTTAATTTTAATTATAATTAATTTTCATGTATATTTTAGATAAGAAACCATTTTATGTTTTTAAACTATTTTCCAATTAAAAGAAGAATCTTTTATTTTTATATTTAATCTTGTCTATTTACTATAATTAAAATTATAATTTTTAATGTTAATCGTAATTAATATTAGTTAATATATTCATATGGTATTTTTATAAGAACGCATTTTGTATTTATTACTCCTTTTTTAGTTCTCAAATTAAAAAACGAATTCCTGATTTTTTAAATAATTTTCAATTTTATTCGTATTCAACTAGCGTATTTTTTTTTAATAAGAACTCATTTTGTATTTATTACTCTTTTTAATTCACAAATTAAAAGACGAATCCTTTATTTTTTTAAATACAATTTTCAATTTTATTTGTATTCACCTGGCATATGGTATTTTTTTATAAGAACTCATTTTGTATTTATTGCTGTTTTTTATGTCTCAAATAAAAAGACGAATTTTTATAATAAATGTATTTTTTGTGTATAATTTTCAATTTTATTCGTATTCAACTGGCGTATGGTATTTTTTATTTTTATAAGAACTCATTTTGTATTTATTGCTGTTTTTTATGCCTCAAATTAAAAGACGAATTTTTATAATAAATATTTTTTGTATAATTTTCAATTTTATTTGTATTCACCTGGCATATGGTTTTTTTTATTTTTATAAGAACTCATTTTGTATTTATTACTCGTTTTTTAATTCTCAAAT